CCTACCCATTTAAATCCACTTTAGTCTTTAAACGCGGCATTTCATTCTGAAGTAATTGTTTAATCTATCACATTTGGATTTGTTTTTCCACTTTACAAGATTTTAGGAATTCAATTTTTCAAATTTACAGATGACTATCTATTTATAATTATACTCATAGTAAAAAAATATATAAGGCTTGATTTGATACAGCTAATGGGCATTGTATGATTATTATTAACTGTATTATTATCTCTTGCGAACCATTTGTATATAAATAGAAAATTCTCTTGTCTGGCAATTAACAATAAAATGTTGAGCATTTAATAAAAAAGGCAGTTAAATTTAAACCGTAGCGTACTTTTAAATTAATAAAATCTATACTTTCATATAACCCATTTCTCTAAAAATTAATCCTCTGTATCTCCAATATATCACTCGTTAATGACGAGAAAACTATCAAACTCCTACGGTCAATTATAAATACGAGATCCACTCCACAAACTTACTGCTGTAATAAATTACCTGTCAATTATAGCCCTTAACCGTATGTAAATAGGGACGTAATTAGCATACAAATTGTCTCGCCCACTCATTGTTGCAAGTTTTTTACGTCTTTCGTTAGAAAAACCAACTAATTATGTCAAGTGTTTTATTTGTGAAGTGAAAATTGACTTAGAATTTGTTGAGAGTTAGTTACACTTCGTCTATTCACTAATTCTAAAGGTCATATACGTCCTGGGGCAGAATGAAATAAAAAGATGAATAAAAGAGATAATTACCTTTTTTCTTAAATGTCAATGACTTCAATTCGTCTTCACAATAATACATTTATTATTATTACAACTCCCGCACTAGGAATAAATATGGTGTAGCAGGGGACTTTACAAACATGAAACGGGCATAAAGAACACCCAGACTCAGAACAACAATTACTGGATCACATTAAGTGTTTTCCTATGTTGTGATCAAACCCACAACACTCGGCACCACTACGCCCTTCCATGCAGCATTGCAATTGCAATTAGGAATAATATTTTCAAGTTTAAATGGGACCAGTACCGAATATATTTTTATTATATATTATATTATTTTTTTTTCCAAATCAGTGCATATTCTCACATCTTGGAGTTCTGATATAAGAAGCCTACAAAATGCTACCAAATTGAGAACCTCCACTTGTTTTGAATTTGGTTAAAATTGATATTTATTATCGAGTTATTCGTAATAAATGTACTTGTAAATACACTTTTTAATCAGTAATAATTACTGCAGGTCAAAACTGATTTAAAAAATTTGAAGATACATTGTCTCTTTACTGTCTTTTATTTCACTTTTACTTGAAGATTTTTTAACATCAGAAAGACAGTCAGCCATAAAACAAATTAGCAGAAATCTTTGGTATTCTTTGGCAGGAATATATGTCTGCTGATCTGTTTATATTAAAAGACTATAAGAGCAGAAAACATAAAGCCCCTTATATTAACACAACATGTAATAAAAAATCACTTGCTTCTAGTATATTATTCTCACTATCTCAAACGATAATCACATAGCTACAGAGCCTTCGGAACCGTTTATTGGGAGTTACGACTGTGTTATTTTGTGAATGGTTAATGAATTGAAATATTGATTTATAACGTTAAAATTGTAATTATCTTTCACAAATTGTTCAGTTCTCACAGATGTGTCGTATTGGTGTGGCTTGGGAGCTGGTTAAATAATTTCTTTTATTAAATGTTTTTATTAATTGCACGTGTAGAGAAAGTAACTTATGTTTATACAGAATGCAATGGAATATAGTCATAATATGCATTAACACGCAGTTTACTATGCTAAACAGTTTGTCACATTTACTTACGATGTTTTATAAAGATTTCTTTAACTCTTGGCGCCAGTATATGTATCTATAACAGTATTGTTTAATTGTTATGTAATTAATTATACTAATTTTTAACACAAATTTGGTAGTTTTGTGACCATACAGTAACAAACCTTTTTTTTTCTTGGATACCACCCACAAGTAGGATGGTTATGTAGGACTCGAACCGACTAAAAACAGCACGCCGTGTATAGGTACCAGTAGCCGGGGAACCAGGCATACCCTATAAAGGAAAGCATACCCTGGTACCAAGATGTAACTCGGGCTATCTACGGCTTATATATGACTCCCTCATGTGTGGGAACCCTGACGTTTCCTACCTGCCCCCGAACGGCGTGCGCGCTTCGTAGTCTGTCTCCGTAATTTGAATAGTCACGATCAATATTCAACATAAGACTGATACACATTTCTTAGGTGACATACCAACATCTTTCTTCTTCAATCTTTCAAGGTACCCTAATTCGAAGACTGCTTGGTGTTTAGACAACAGCGTTAGAAGTAGAAATTCAAATTACACCAGTAAAAGGACAGCTTTATAGTTTAGCACAACACTTTCTGATCATAGGTATTTCCTAACAGTTAGCTGAAACAAAGACGAATTGCTCAATTTATTACCTTACACCAATTCCAGCACAGTGCAGTGAAAACGTGTAATTATTGACCCGTTGAACCTTTACAAAAATACCGATGTATTTATTACTTACAAGGTTTACTAAAGAAATGTGTACTTTGTCATGTTTCCTTTATTGCTCGGAATTTATGTTCGTCTTATATGGATAGCTTCGAAATGTAATCTGGGACTTACGCTAGTTTGTAGAATACAGCAAAATATTATTAAATATTCTTTTTTACAAATATGTACATCACATCACACATCAACAGCCCTCTACAGTCTACTGTTGGACATAGGCCTCTCCTTAGGAATAAGGTTTTGGGCAACTATACCACGCTGGCCAGACGGGTTGGTATAAAGTTTTTTGTCAAGTTTTCCTTCTCTTTGCAGTGCTGTTGTCCTGGGTTATTTAATACATATTAACTCATATCGCTTCTTTCATTCAAGTGGAGTGCACACCATAAAACAACTAAAAGATAAATAGCTGATAATAATAGAGGCACAGCAATTTCACACAAGAACTTAATAGCCGGCAATCAGCCAGATATTTTTTTACGATTTTGACTGTAGTGGTTTAAGTAGTCACCACGCTGCTTACTGCTACTCTAGTACGATGGTACGACACATGGTACAACACTTTGTGTGATCCACAAACTGTTGTCCTGAGGTGTTGTTTGAGTCCGTTTCATGTATGTTTGTAAAGTCCCCCGCGACACAGGATATATTCCTAGTGCAGAATTTGTTTTTAAAATTAGACAGCACACAATATTTGCACTGAATGGAAATTCCTCCTATTAGGTACTTAAGACATAGTTGTCGACTACTCTACTTATACATTTCAGTATAGAATCTTGATCGGTTTATCCATCGTTGCAATTCACCGAGTGAGTGACGTTACCAGAACCTCTCCCCATTCTGGGGTAAGGAGTACTACAAGGAAAGCAACAGTCTTGTGTCTCTTGAGTTTATTTATTTGTTATACCAACAGCATACATACACTGCACTCTTATATAACATTTCCACAAAATATCATACCTGGTATGCATGCTCATTACAGGTACACACAACATTCACCACAAACACTAAAAAAATCAAGGACAAACAATAGGGATAAAATAATATGAAATAAATAAAATAAAATAAAGTAAAATAAAATTAAACGTTAAAATTGTTTTGAACTTTCCACTATTGCCCTTCTAAATTTATTGAGAGAGACATGGGTGTCTGTCTTTCAGTGAGCAAATAAAATTGTATTCTCTACTTATTCTTGTCAGAGGTACGTTTAGACCTAGATTAAATTTGCGGGTTGGAATATGAAATTGAGTTGCATGTCTTCATATGCTGTGACTGTCCGTCGGCTTGTTTGCTCCCCACACCCCAATATTCTCAAAATTTTCTTAAGTCAATTTGTCCGAAATAAACGCACGAAATAAATAATGCGATATATATTATCCACAATAATATATACTTACAAGTCTACTGCTAATCTCTACAGGTATGCAGTAGATATCTCATAAAACAGTGACATATGACCACAATCACAGTGTTCGCGGGTGGTCTATAATTGACCATATCAGATCTACAACTATACACATAGTCTGGGCGGGGTTTTATTTTTGAGGTCAAATTATGAGTTTAAAAACTTATTTGAATGCTGCGCGTGAGTAGGTGTGATTGTAGATTTGATAAGCATTAAATTATTTTTTTAGATATTTCATTTACATGTAAAAGGTGTATCATTATTGATAACGATCACAGTGATATGTTAACATCAAATCGCTGATATTAATGATTCTATTTCGTGATTAGTTTTCAAAATATTTGTTTAGAGTTTGTGTCTTTGTAGTAAATTGCGTAATCTATTAATTGAAAATTATATGATTTGTTTAAGTTAGAGATTTTGCAAAAGTTTAATGCATATTTGAGATAAAATTATAAAATAAATAGATAGAGGATATTCCAAAATACCATTATTTTATGAAGAATTTATTGCGATAGTGGTTTAGACTTAAAAAGCCCACATCGCTGCTAATACTGCACCTTGTGGTCAGATTTAAACTACTTTTTTTAAAATCTCACTACTAGCTGTGGCTTGACCCCAATTAGATTAAGAGTAGATGAAGTTGGAGGCTTGGAACTACTCCAAAACCAGCATTTAATTTAGTCAAGGGGGAAAATATGGTACACATATTTTTTGCGAAAGCTGTTTTATGAGGATTAAAACGTGTCCCTTATATGCTTGATGTCCGCTTCTCTTTCTACATTCATTCTCATAATCGTGTATTATTTTATCATAGAATAAATCAGTACTGTGAGTTGGTAAATGAAACAAACGCACCTTGAGACTAACAGTATCCATTATTAGTTATTTAATCCTTTTTACCAACAAAAACTAGTTTTTTTTCTCTAAATTTATATTTTTATATATTATTTATTTAATATATATTTATTTAATATATATTAAATAATTTTTTTATTTAATATATATTTTTATATGCATTGCTCAAAATTACTCGTTACATATTTTCAAAATGCCTTCTTAATACGAAACGCAATTACAAAATCAGAATAAGTTTCTTCACGTCCATAATTCAAGCAGTTAACAGCAAAATTGAATCGAGCGACATTACGCGCGACAAAAACTTCGCAAATTGATTCGGAGTAGCAAATTGCAAACGACGCGACAATTTGCGATTGGTTGCCGCACCGCGCGGCCTTTATTAAATATTGCTGTGATACAACCTGCAAAATAATTGCATAGGATGCTATTGCCTTAGATCTACAAATACATTATCTACATGCCTAATCTGGAACACAGTTAAATTTAGTTAAAAAATAAATAAATTTTAATAAGTATAGTTATCCGACGCGCCACCCGATTGCTCCGATTGCGGTAACCAAATTCTTATATTAATATGTATAAAATTTGCAAAAGATTAAAATCAATGATGACCTAAATATTTCAACTAAGATATCCTAAAATCCATTCGTATCACTTAATAAAGATAATGGCTTATTTATTTGAAATATGTAGTTCTTAAATCGGTAAAAGAAAATGTTATGTCATTGTATTCTAAAACGATTGTAAATTGTGTTTAACGCATCCTTTATCGTCTTAAGTCGCACAGAAAACTGCTGAAAATAAATTATATTAGTAACGGAAAGTGTGTAAGATATAATTATCTAATAACAGTCAATACTAAGAATGTCTAAGTAGTAGTAAAAGTTGTAATAGGATATAAAAGTTCGTATAATTGAGATTCTATGTCAGATTGCAAACAAACATGGAAATAAAAAAAATCTAACCTAACACCTGTTCCCTATCACACTTAATAACTTTGGCACTGATCTACAAAGTGCGATAAGCTTACAAGGTATGACTGCTTGTCATGCAATTCACGACACGAGACAGAAGTCGATCCTATACACGGTGACTTTCCTTAAACCGCGTCTAGCCATCAAGAATATGGCAAATTCGCTTAAAAAATCATGGATGCTAATTGTTTCTTGTTCTTTTTTAGGGTTCTATCCTTTTACGGAACAAAAGTAAAGAAGAAGAAAAACCTTAGAGAAATACTTCGTTGTCTACCTGTCTGTTTCTTTGTGAAGACCTTTTTCTTAGAAATGGGTGGATGTGACAAGTTGAAATTAGCATCAAATCTGTCTTGGTCTGTAAGTCTTTTGCTTTTTGAAGCCGTTAAAAAAACTTCTATGTAAACAAAACCGAAAGATATGACTTTTAAATCAATTTTGAATACTTTGCATGTGAAAAAAAAAAACTAATGCAGTACATTCAATTGACCTAGAATCACAACGATATAGTGGAGAAAAATATGGAGAAGTGAATAAAAACTAGAATTTGTCACATCATTTTGTATTGTGAGGTGTCGCATAAACTACCACTGCGCTACCGAGGCAGTCATTAAATATTACAATACATTAAACTTGGTATGACCACAATATTGCTTACTTTTGGGATAATTCTACTAAAATAATCACCCCCAAGAATCACGAAAAGGGAGGTTCTGGGTGCCGATAACGTTACTCATTCGATGAAAAACAAATAATAAGAAAGGTATAATTCCAACTGAGTCGGTCCATTTATAGCGAACCATGGCTCTCCCACGGTTAGTTGTCGAATACCTGAAATGTACATCCAACTTTAATTGTTCCTAATTTAGATATGAGGGTTTCCAAATGGTAATTTTTTGTCCGTGTAGTGACGGATTAAGAATACGGAATGTCACTACCCCAATTCATCCCGTAGGTGTTGTAAGAGCCGACTAAGGGCGCAAAACAACGCAGGACACCAGCACTGCAAAAAGAAGGAAAACTTGACACAAACCCTATACCAACCCGCCTGGCCAGCGTGGTATAGTAGGCCAAAACCTTCTTTCTAAGGAGAGGCCTATGTCCAGCAGTGGACTATTAAAGGCTGTTGATGTGATGTGAATTTTAATCCCCATTAAATTACACATTGATTTATATCTAATACGATCATTAATTTTAAATAATATTTATAACTAAAACTTATATAACTAACTAACATGCAACTGCGTGATCGGTTAAAAGTCCAAGGCACAGTGTGAATATAAAGTGCATTTGTCAAAATTGTTTAAAGTCTTCCAAGTTATACAACTAAAATAGAGCATCATTGAGAGTTTGAAACTCGAGACTTACGCTATATATGTTTAGAAACAAAATCATCAACTGAGCTAGTGGCGCCACCTGTGTAAAACCTACTTCAGCGACATCTAGTGAAAACCAATTGAATTAAGTAGGAACTAGTAATCCTGCATCGCGATTATAGATATCGCGATGATTAGAATATCAAAACATTAAATTTTAAGTTGCGGTGGCGGCACGGAGAGTGGCAAACCTGGTAAGGCTTACTTCATGAATATGAATAAAACAAATTCATGAATATATGAGGCAATGGGTTTTAAAAGGACCAAACGAGCACCCGATGGTGAGTGAGATCTAATGGTAAGAGAGTATCACTCACTCATGAAGCTTGCAACTCAAGAGTTATAAGTGTCTTGCCGGCCATTGAGGCGGGGAGTACATTCTATACCGAATAGGACTTTTTTTTTACATAGAATCATTCGCAGTCATGCGAGGCAAAAGTCGGTTGTCAATGATTACATGTTTACAAGCAATAATACATCTTGAAAATGGCTTTTGAATGCGAAAACGCATTCAATCACTACCTCGTATTTTCTTACTGGCCAATGCAATATTTATCAAGAGCCTATAAACTTAAATTCTACCATTTTACTTATACGGATGGGCAGACCACCACCACAGTTACTATTCAGGCGTCAATCCACATCAATGTATAAGGTTATATAGTCAATTGACATCGTTCTATAAGGCACAGGTGACGGCTAAGATTTGTGTCCAACTGTTTAGGACTGTCTTTAACTTTTGAGGTGTATTTCTAAATGATTTACTTGCAGACTTTATGCAAAATCAACTTAAGTAAGCTTATATAGACCTTCCATACTAAATTGTAATCAACCTTTTTATTTTAATTATCTTTTACATTTTAGATAGTGAAAATTAGGCACTAGAAGTGTAACAATGGCAAATCATGCAGGACTAGATTTGCATATAATTGAGATAAACTAGATGTGGGAGCAAGTTAAGAACGTTAAAGAATCGAAACAAAATGCATCAATAGAACGTTATATTACTATTAGTAAGTATTGATAAGTAATTATTAGCAATTGGGCACTGAAAATCAGTACTGAGGTGGCATCTATCTACCGCAGTGTACACTGAGTGTTCACCTATTTTCTGAAACACGGCGTACAACCCTCAGCAACATTAAAGGTTTATTATGGTACATAGACCCATGGTTGATAAGTATTAGTCGATAAGTAATACTCGTAGTTATTATAAGTAACATTTCATAGACGTGTTTCGTCAATTCTGCCAGGTATGAAAGATTGACACATTGAAAAATGTTTCCTTGTTAACGTGTTTATCAAACCTAGTTTCTTTGTTTATGTTGCTATTAACTTTTGTTTTATTTTTGTACGCTGTGCTTTATGAAATAAATAATATTCTATTCTATTATAATTATATTAAGAGTCCGTATATTTCATATATACAATCTATACAACAATAAAACAGTTAAACACATTTGCTTTAGTGTTTATTTTCGTAGCTTTTGGGTAACACAGTTATCTACATATTTCTTTTTTGTTTTTTTTCTGTCACAGAATTGACAGGGCTTAGTGTTATTAAGACGTGTCCAATATGAATATTAACGAATTCATTTAGAATTCTTTATTCTCAATTATTTTAGTAATGATTAATGGATTATTGCATACATAATTCTAAATGGGGACATCCAAACGTGATTGGTTTTGAAGAAATCTCAAATACCCTAGATGATTCGTTTTAACGTGACCATAAAGATAAGATCAAAAAAAAAATTACCTTGCAACCTTCACACGTAAAAGCACCAAAGTGGAAGCCGGCTGCTGGCTCTCCACACACCTTACACTGTTGGTTCATCTGTAAAAATTAAAACAAAAATGAACCCATCTACTGTTGTAAACCATAATATTAATCAGAATGCACAAAATTAAAAATCATTAGTAGCAATATAATAATGAAAAATTATAAATTAACGCACGTTATACCAAAAGCTATCTGTTTCCAAGCTAGGCAGAGCCTGCAATATGCTAATCAATATTCTTATATATTTCTAAATACACACGAATTAAGAATACGGGGTGTCATAACCACTAGTCATTCTGTGGGTGTCGTAAGAGCCAACTAAAGGAACAAACCCACGGGATATAGTAGTATATGAGATGACTATCTTCTTAACAAAAAATCCTAGGACTTCCCGAGTGTCATAACATCGGTATGTTCGTCGGTCACTACAATTGATCGTGGTGTACAGGAGTTACAGAGATGGACGTGTGAGAGGAACTAGTGCCATTTAATGCCTCATATAATAAAAAATTGTAGAAATTTGACCACCAGGCGGTCTTTAATATTATTTAATTCGAAATGTTGGTTTATTGTACATTTACACTTATTAACACTTCAGTACACCTACTAATTACTAAAAACTATTTGTTTTGCCTTCTTAAGAAAAAGATAAAATAAATAATTTACATCTCACTTATCCATTGTGTAAAATATCTCAAATTTAGTTTTGAAGTGCATACAGACTTGCTGCGTAAGGAGGAAAATTCACCAAGACATTTCCTCCTTACGACAATTAACTACATTCCGACATAAACTTGATTGTTTTTATGACACAAGGAAGCCGTCATTAAATTATGCTGCCAATAAAAGCCTACAAGATTGTTTATAAGTAATAAAATACCTTAAAAAGTAAGTAACAAATATTTGGTATTCACTAAGTAATTAACTTATTATCTTCGGACTACTGATGTCTTATTTCAAGAATTTGTCTACATAATGTGCCAAGGGAATTTTATTTTGACAACTTTGTTTGGCGTGGAGCATAATGTATTTTAATAAAAATTAATAAAACGCAAAGTTTAAAAAAAAAAATGGTGTTTCACTGTTAAGTCATGATTTGACTTAACAGTGAAACACCTTTTTTTTTAATTATTGAGACATGACGTCATTCCTTGCTATCTCCAAGAATTGTCATTAACAGAAAATATATGAGACTAATAAACTATTTTTAATTACGCCCTATTTTTAATCTTAAACTATTCTGTTACGAGTGGGTTCAGTATTGGACTCAGTGTCATTGAAACTGAACTCTTCCGAAACGCCTGGATCGATTTTCATGTTTTTTTTTGTGTGTGTATTCGACAATGATTTAGATTTTTAAAAAGTTTGAAATTTTCGGTTTTATTAGATATATGTGTACAGGACAACGTCTGTCCGGTCCGCTAGTATTATAAATAAATTACAGCCAGACAAAGAACGAATGATCACGCTCATCACATAATTATTTGTCCTGAATGGCAATGGAAGTCCGTGTAGTGACGGATTAAGAATACGGAATGTCACTACCCCAATTTATCCCGTGGGTGTCGTAAGAGACGACTAAGGGCGCAAAGCAACGCAGGACACGAACACTGCAAAAAGAAGGAAAACTTGACACAAACCCTATACCAACCCGTCTGGCCAGCGTGGTATAGTAGGCCAAAACCTCCTTTCTAAGGAGAGGCTTATGTCCAGCAGTGGACTATTAAAGGCTGTTGATGTGATGATGTGATGTGAATGCCTATCATTACCACTAGGCCAGGAGGTCCTACACAGTTAATATGCCGTTGCTATATTAAATTAAATATCACAATATTTCTGCATTTAGATGTGGGCATGTAAAATAGAAGAATGTTTTTACAGCTAGTTCTAATTTAAGTTTTTTAATCTAATTTTAGTTTTAAATTTATTCTGTGTCTAGGTATAATTTATGTATGTATTTATTAATATATAAACATGACGTGTGTTGATCAACTAGTTTAGGATCAGACGGCCGTGTGTGGAAGATATGATAAATAAAATAAAATATAAATGGAAGATTTTTCAGATTGTTATTGTTATCGTTATTATAACATTGCTTTAAAATGAAAATCACCTATGATATTGTAATTTTAATTGTTTTTCTTTACACAAAACCAGTTTAAAATAATTACTTGTCATTGTGGTCAATAATATTTTCTTTTTCAAAACATTATGACTTTCAAAGTACTTAAATTCTCGTATCAGATTTAATATTTTTGTCTTTAATAAATAAATCAAATGTAATATACATAAAGTAGATGAATGATGAATTTTAAAAATATTTTTTTCAATGAAATCACTCAGCCAAACTCTATATACTTGTATATACTTGAAAATACCACAAACTATTGCTTCAAATCAAATTGCCTCGATGTCTATATATAAAGCACGAGTCGAGTATCAACCTCGGTCTCAAAGCAAACATTAAACATTTAAAAAAAAAAACTGACAGAAATGTATTCGTAACACCAGAACATAAGTGTTATGACAATCGAGTATCTTGATGAGCCAAAAAATTGGGTGTTCAGCTCCCAAATGATGAACAAACATTGTGGTCACGAATGTGTTGAGCTTGAAGAGCTATTGAAAAGGTCAGACCACAATATGAGTGTAAGTGGACCAACTTGAGGTGCAGCGATGTGTAATAATGGACACGCATTCGAGGTGTGTGGTGTGGCGATGGAGACTAGAACATCAGAAGTTTCGGATTCGTCTCCAATAGAAATATGTTATGAGTTTCGCGACTTTGCTCGCTTGATAACTTTTTAATTCCTGTATCTAACTTTTAGAAAGACAAACTTCCCTAGAATCTTTTATGCCTTATTTTACCAGACAGCTGAAATTTTCAAATATCCTTTCTTAGTGGGTGGTTACAACATAAAAATAATCAGCTGTCATCATTTTAAGTTTGTAGACATAGCGGTTAGGCTTTGCGTTGATAAATCTGTTAGTCAGGACAAGTAATCTTGTATCACATCACATCATAACATCAACAGCCTATAATAGTTCACAAACCTCTTTTCAAAGGAGAGGCCTATGTCCAGATATAGGCCTCTCCTTCGAAAGGAGGTTTTGGCCTACTATACTATACTATAATAGGAATGGTGACATTCCGTATTCTCAATCCGTCACCACACAGACAAATATTGTATTGTACTGATAAATTCTGTATGGATACATTTGGCTTGTTTGTATGATCATAGACCAAGGGTGCACCAATAACTTATCGATGTAGATTGCTGACCTTATAAAAATCGTAGTACTTCCAAATGCTAGTCTAGGAAGTCCCATGACTGATATGACGACGATGAATATGGTGATGATAAAGAAACTTCACGTATAGTACATTTGTAAATATTCTAGAATCCATAAACAGCAAAATATTATACTATTTAACAATAATTAAAACACTGCTTAAAGAATTAAGAAATGTCATTGGTTTTTTTTTATTTTTTAATAAGAGTTAAAAGTTACAAGTAATCCTAGTTATTATAACAATTAGGATTACTTGTAACAACCTAATTCTTATAACTGAAGAACTAATATCTTGAAACTGAAGTTTTTATGCTTATTTATAAACTCATAAATATACAAACAGGAAACATTTCGCTGTTTTTTCTTAATGAAAGCAAATTTTGAGCTTTTTATGTTACTCTTGCCTTGTAGATACGACCTTCAAACCTTTAGAAAAAGAGCATAATCTCAGTTCAAAGGCGAACAAGGCATTTGTGACCCTCAAGTTACAGGTGTGAAAAGACGTCTTGTTTGCCCATTATATCATAATAACTAGGTGTCTGACAACTCGACTTAATTTAAAAACAAATATATTATTGTCAGGTACATAAAATTTCATTTTATTGAATATGTCAAGCGCATCACAGTAAACGCAAATGACATGACCCTTTAAAAGTTTTTCTGAAAAAAATCACTTTCAACATTGCGTGTGCAATTGTGTATTTAGTTAAACTGATTCCGCTGTTCTTGTTACAAACATACCTGAGGTATGTTTAAAAAAAAATTAAATAAATGTTGTATAATAACATGTTTCGGCGCTGTGCTAACAAGTGTGCGTGACTGGGCACTGTTAACATATCCGAAATTTATTTTTTTAATTTCATTTCTTTCCTTTTTTGGTTGCTCTGCAAGCGATGAAGGATTGGGCACGTCTGCGAGACACGAGTTACCGAATAATGGATTCAACTCGTATGAATAATCTTTGATGTTTTTGGGTGAAGATACTCCATCAGGCCCTGTCAGGAATGAAAGAGGTGGATCGATTTCGATTTTCTTTATTGTAAATATTAGTAGCCATTTTTTTCTCTAATTATTTTCCAAATGTTTTATATCCTGATTATTTTCAAAATTCTTTATTTCAGAATATGATAAATATTTATTTCTTTCATATTCTAAAACATAAAATGACAACCAGTATAAATATGTATTTGCATATATATAAATATAATTTCATGTCTTCCTTATTGCATTATAGCTCCTGAATGGGCAGACATTTTGATTTGGTATTTTGTTTGAAAACTGACTTAGTCGACAGTGTAAGCTATAATTTTCAAAAAGCTTTAGAACTTTAAATCTTTAATCTTTACTTCATAAAATGTTCATATGAATGTTTGTTAGTATCATCATCACCATCAGCATATCGCAGTCCACTGCTGGACTTAGGTCTCTGCCATTGCACGCCACTTAGATCGATTTTGGGCTTCGTTTGTTAGTATGATATTTTAATACATTTTTTGACTAGAACCTGATATTTCACATCGAATTAAAAAGAAACTCAGATATTTTTACACGGAATTTGGCAATGAATGAATGATATATCAAGGTCCATTATTTGGGTTGTTATGTCAAACATTTTATCTGATGAACCCTTAAAATTACGGTTTAATTAAGTAATTCTTGTGAAATTTGTACATTGTTGATTTTATCTTGGTATTTTTATGGATTAACGTCTGAATTGGAAATAAATACAAATTGTTGCAATTTATCAATCCCTTTTAATA